TGTGGGGATGCTGAAGATAGAGCCTAGGCCTCAGGGGTGTTAGGCAAGGGCCCTGCCACTGAGCCAAAGACCACATTTTAATTAGAATGCATCATGTGGTGAGTTTTGACAAATGCACTGCGACCTGGATCCACCTTGTAGTCTCACACAGATGGCTTCAACTATCCTGAAATGGTCCTCTTGCCCTCCTATCCATTCCTCCCCACGCAGCCCCTGGCCACCACTAACAGCCTTCACTTTCTGTCACTGGCATGGTGTGAGGAGCCCTCACAGGCTGGCTCCTTTCACTCAGAAGCATACATGAGGTTCTTCATGGCTTTTCAAGTTGGTTTTTCTTTATTTAAAGGGGGGAGCTTAATTTGGTAGAAGTGCCAGCACCTGGGGCTGTGGAGGTGACGTAGGCGGTAAAGTACTTGCTGTACACGCAAGAAGATTTGGGCTTTATCCCCAGAGCCACTGTGTGATGCTCCATTGTCATCCCAGAACTGGGGAGGTGGAAACAGGTGGATCCCTGGGACTCCCTGGCCAGCCAGCCTCGGCAGTGAACACTGTCTCAAAAAAAAAAAAAACAAGGTGCAGGCTGGAGTAGTTAAGAGAGTTGACGCTCTCCTAGAGGATGAGTCCACTTCCCAGTACCCACATGGGGTAGCTCATAACCTCCAACACCTTCTTTGGCCTCTGAGGATACCTGCTCAAATGTGTGTGCGTGCACGAGTGTGCGCACACACACACAGACATGGAGTACACTAACTAGCTGGATGTGGACCCCAGCACTTGGCATGTGGCATCAGGAGGATCAGGAATTCAAGACCATTCTTGACTTCAGAATGAGTCTGAGGCTAGCCTGGGCTACCTTAGATGCTGTCTTTAAGAAGGACGGCAACTCAGAAACATCCTGCACCTACTTTAGAGATAGAGTACGAACTCTTTTTGCCATCATTGCTTCAGATTCTTTATTCCTATTTTCGGGGTCATTTGAGGGTCATTTTCCAATGATGGCAATCACTGTCCTATGTTTTTAGCAGTCCCCAGCTCTGCAGCATCCAGAACTAGGGACTGCTTTTACCTGATATGGTGCATACAGACCTGTACATATGTGCAAAAGAGACCTGACAGCCCAGAGGTGACTGCCACCTAGCCTGGCTGGAGCTATTTGGGGAGAGCGGGACTCAAAAAGTTCCCAACCCTCCTGAGGCTGGAGAACAAAGCCCCTTTGTGACTTTTGTTTTGAATCAGGCTTGTGACAAAGGGGAGGAGCCACCGCGGTGGGTTGATAGAGGTACCCAGAGGGGAGGAGCTGGTTGTTGCAGAAAAAAACAAAATTCTCTCCCTCCCACCTTTCTCCTCTGTTTCCCTCCCCCCTCACTCTCTCTCCTTCCTCCCCCCCCCCCATGTGGTCATCCTGGAAACCCCTTCCTCAGCTCGATCAGCAGCAGGCTTTTCCAATGGAAGCTTGGGGAAAAGATCCGGTGGCAGCCTGGGAAAGAAACCCAGCGGCCTGGGAAGCCGGCCCAGCGCACCGTTCAGAAGCAATGTGTATCAGCCCACCGAGATGGCTGTCGTACTCAATGGCGGGACTGTAAGTATCAAAATATGATGTCTGGGCAGGAGGCCTGAGAGCGTCCAGTGTGGGGCAGCTTCGGCTGGGTGGACCTGGAGGCTGCTTCTCTGGGCTGCCCACTGCAGCTCCATGCATGCATGCCTACTATCTTTGTCTGGCCCCCTCGACCACCTTTCTTCACATAAGAAAAACCCGCCCACACCCAGAAAGCCATCTGTAGATGCCTACCTACTGCTTGGGGCTCTTTACCTGGTGGGTACAGTGCCCCAACCCTCTCCCAGGAAGATGACTAAGGAAAAGCTTCCTATGGGAATGCTCTCATCTTTGCTGACATCCACCCTAGCTTAAGTCCCCTGCTCCCTACTCCATCCAGTACCCCTGGGCTGGGCACTGGGTCCCCCCCACCCCAACTCCCTAAGAGACATTCTAGGAAATTGAAATTGTTTCCCCTCAAACACCAGAGCAGCTGTACTTACCTGTCGCCAAACAGACCCGCAGCAGAAAGTGTCACCTTTTGCTTTTTGCCTCTGTTGGAATGACTGTTTCATTCCAGCAAAATCCAAAGAGGCGCTCATTCCTACATCTCCTTCCAGACATAGCTCTGTGCGTCTCAGAAGCAGTGCATGAGCCAGTTCACATGGACACATTTGATTTCCATTCTTCATTTTGTGCCAATTCCATAATTCAACCTGAGCTTTTGTTTCTTTCTCTCCTTTTTAATGGACCATCAGGGATGGTCTTTAGTCCCTGAGGGAGGGAATTTTGGTTTTTCTGGCCTGTGAAGGCTCTGCTAGTATCTGGTTCCCTTTGCTTTGAACAGGCTGTAAAGCAAAAAGAAACACAGATTTGTGTTCTTAAATCCCCTTACCACCTCCTGGGCTGTTTCTTTGTCCTGGGGCCAAGAAAAGCCTGGCTTTACTGTGACCACTAGTCTTCGGAAGAGCCAGCCCGTGTGTTGTAATCAACACAACCTGTCCATCATTCTGAAGTCCTCCTGGTTCCTTTAAGGCCAGTGCAGAGAAGGAAACCGAAGATTTACCAGGTGGCTACTGTAGGGTCTTGGGGTGAAGTTCAATGGTAGGACTCTTGTCTAGCATGCCCAAGGCAACTCATGCTGTCCTTGTTCGTCACTTCTTAAAGCACTGAGTTTCTGAGTGAGGAGTATGTCCCTGAGGGTGGGTGACATGAACCTCCAGTACATTCCTGGGGATGACTCAGTCCCCCAGCCCCCCACAGGTAAAGCAAGGGAGGTTGATGCATCAGTTTTTAACGTTGACTTTGCAGAGTTCTCAGTACTTGTCCTTATGTTATTCCAGATCCCAACTGCTCCGCCATCTCACACAGGAAGACACCACTGGTGAAAGACCTTAAGTTCCAGAGAATAAGAATCTCTCTTACCGATTTTATTCCCTGGCTGTGTCTTTCTTGAGGGTGAAGTCAATAACCATGGCCGAGACAGGGCCACCTGGAAGCCAGGAAATCTGGGGATTTCGTGTAAATGTGACATACAGATGAACTGGAAAGCTAACAGTGTCCGCCCTCCCCTATCCTGCCACACACACACACACACACACACACACACACACACACACACACACACGGAATCGTCCTGCGAACTAAATCAGAGCTAACTGCCGATAGTCTTAGGCTCACTCAGAGAAGCGTGGCTGGGAAACTGTTTCATCCAGCGGGGGCAGGACAGAGAAGAATTCACAGCTGGTGTGCCAGGCTGATGTTGGCTTATATGAGGGGTTTGAGCCAGCCTGCCACGCCCTCCCCGAGTGCTGGTCCCCAGGGAGGTCTTTTGGAGATAACAGTGCCCTTGAGGTTAGCTCATGGACCCTTCTCCCTGGCTTGCTTGCCTGGTGGCCTATACAGTTCAGGAGACTTGAGGAGGCTGTGGCTGTGATTCCAAAGTAAGGCCCAGCTGGACGATCAGGGAGCTGTGTAGCTGGTGGGACTAGGGGGTGCACAGAACGTGCCAAAGAGGGGAAGGTACTCCAGACCCTGAAGCGACCATCACATTTAGACAGTGGTGAGCAGCTACTGATTCATCTCTGGGCCTCTTGCTCTAGCAAGCAGCCCACCCGCCCCCCTCCCTTACAGAGTGAGAAGTCCCCCTTCCGCTCACTGCACTCCACGCCAGTGCTGCTCCACGCCCCTTCCCCGATTTCATTCCCATGTTCATTTCAGAAGCTCAGCTAGGGCCACCAGCTCGAAGCCTCAGGGGAGTCAGGCTGAAAGGCAGGCACCGGAGCAGCCTTTTCACAGTGTCCTGTGGCTGAGCTTCCCAGGGGTGACCTCTAGGATGGAGAGATGGCATCCTCGTGTCCAGCAGCCAGTGACTTCTGGGGTACTTTCCCTTGGTGTGGCTAGAAGTCCAGGATAGAATGAGTTCCGTGAAGGTCTCTTGCTGCTTTCGGAGGGTTTAGAGAACATTTTAATCTTGGTTTTCCGATGGTTCTATGAAAGTGGCCCTCTTCACAGCCGTCATTTGTCATGGCTTCCATCTGTCCTGAGCAAGTCATTCCTTTGTCGCTCGGCATCTCCAGCATCCCTGCCATTAAAAGCCCTGTGTTCTCTGCACTGTTTGGCCAGGATAATCTCTAGCAACCTTTCCATGCTGAGAGTGTGAACCTGACCATATGGACTGTACAAACAAGGGTAGGGCCTCTGCATACACTCTAATGGCTACATTGCTTTTTCTACAAAAACTACCCATAAGCCTTTAACCTTTAATGAAAGCAAAATTTCAAAGGTTAGTATTTGGGGGTGGGGGTGGGGACTGACCTCCTCTTTAGCCAGTACATCATGGCTGAGTGTTTTAATAAATCTGATTTTTCTCAAGACCCCAGTCTCTGCTGTATCCCCTCCCTGCCCTACCCTGTCTTTGCAGAGCCTTAGGGAGATGAGGCCAGTCTGGCTAGCGCTTGGCTCTCCTGCAAGTTTTCCTTACAGTTAGTGCATCACCGTGCATGGGAACCAGAAAGCATGGCACCCAAAGGTCTCCCCTTCCCCGCTTCTGGGATGCCCCACCCCCATTCAGGGCATGTGCTTGCTTCCAGAGGATTTGAATCAGTCCTTTATGCTTAAGGACCATCATGTGGTGGGCTGAGGAACTTAGAAGCTTGAGGAGGGGTTGGAGGGTAAGAAAGCCAGGGCTGCATGGGGCTGGAAGCTCTTGCATGCACTATCCAGCCTTCTACAAAGAAATCTCCGAGCACCTCGGGCCGGGCGGGTGACAAACGTCAGCGCTCCACGTTCTTGTGCCAGGAAGTGGCTGCCCACCCCCGCTCTCTGGAGTCCTTTGGAGCTTTCTGATGTCACCAGTGACTTGGTCTGCAAAAGCCCCCCTTGCAGAAGGGAGAAGCTGACATGATTGGTGGTTTTCTCTCTAAGCTCTTTGTTGTCGCGTATAAGGTGAGCACCGTGCTGATAGCTGTGCGGAAAGCCGCATCTCTGCACTGTCAACACAGGGCTGTTCTGAGCCACAGGAAACCTCACGCAGCGAGGTCTTTCAGTTTTGCTTTCTTTTTTTTTTTTTAAATCTTTCCCACCCCAATAGGTGATTGCGCTTCTGGGCTTTGTTTTATCTTGGCTAATTTAAGGTTCAGGGTGGGCTGAATGTTCTTAGACGGGGGTGGAGGTTGGAGCAAAGGGAGAAGGGAGACGTCCGCTATTTTTCTGATGAGTTCAAGTTCACCTGAAGAGGACCACAAGGCAACTCCACGTGGAGACTGCAGCCAGCTTCCGACAGAACGAGGCTGAAGGACAGACTCCCATGGCACCTGTATAAGAGTGGGGAATGGTCTAGAAAGTCATCTGTGAATAACCCCAAGCTGTAAGCACAACCTAGCATGCCGGGGTGGTAACCCCCTGTTGGGACTAGGACAGCTCCTCTGTCTCCTAAAGGAAAACCCCACAGTGTTCTGGAGTCTGTTGCCAAGGTGGCGGGACAATGGCAGAGAAGACAGGCTCCCATGTGTCAGCTGTTTCCAAGGTCAAGATCTGGTTGGTGTCCACCCCGCCCCCACAAAGATGAGGTCAAGGCCAGCAAACAAGTGTAGACAGGGTGAGAGGGGTCGTCTTTTGAGTCTGTCAAATTGAAAAATAGAAGAGGACGCTGGCATTTACACATCCAAGGATGTAGCAACCATATGAGCCGATGAGAGCCCCTGGCAGGTGCTTTTTATTCATAAAGAGCTATGGCTCAGTTTTTGATAGATAATATATATTTATTAAATGTATTAATGTGTATTTTATAATGTACCCTCACTCTTCCCCCACCCTGGATGACTTGCATACTTATGAACAAAATTGTTTGGGAAATTTCAAGACAATCAGTATGTACATATAAATATCACAGATTGAAAAGGTTGTTAAGCATGAGCAGATAGGTTTTATTTTCAAAATGCTGTTCTTAACAAGAAAATAAAGGCTTTACTATTTACCTAAGATGTGTGGTAGCTTGTCAAATAGTCCTATACTACCAAGGAGGCTTTCCTGTGTCTGGGGCCTTTCAGATGAGAGAATCCTGTTGAGCAGCAGCCACAGACACATGAGGACCATTAAATTAAGAGGACGCTGCTGTAACACTTCTGGGGCTTTGACGATGGAAGTCCTTTGCAATGACTGTCTCTTCTTGAGCTGGAAACACAGCTCAGTTCTCAAGCCTTGCCTCGTAATTCAACGACAAAACCAAGACAGAACTAACGGAGATTTGAGATAAATTAAAATATGGGCCTTGGCGAAAGTGGGAAAACTGGTGACAAGGACATCATCACTAGGCATGTCAACTGTGGTGGTGGCTCAGGAGGGTACTCCTGACACAGTGGAGAAGCAGATGGAAAAGTAGCATTCGGGGTAAGGCAGGAAGCTAAGGGACGCTTTCCTAAACTGTGCTTAAGCTCATCTGCAACAAACCCGGTCTGTGGGCCGAAGGTTCTGTGTCCACCACACTAAGGGAATGTGCAGTCTGGGTGTGGAGGACTGGTGTCAGTTAAGGAGGTGGCCCAGAGGCAGCAGGCACTTCCTCGTCGTCCATTTTACATTTCACTGCAGAGAGATGAGAGAGTCAGGGTCAGTTGACACACCCGGACAGACCTGCCCCTTGGAAACCGGAAACACTGACGAGTGGACAGGGTCATTTACAACAAACCCCACTGAATCCCCGTCACGGTTCTGGTTCCTCAGACGCGGGGAGGAACACGGGTCCACTGTGTTCCAGGATTTCACCTGAAGGCTTGAAGCTACCACTTCCTACCCCCTCAGTTCATGGCAGTTTGGAGTTGAGAAAAAAGATGGATGGGGTGTGGGGTGCCTTTGTGGGTTAGGGTGCTGAAGGAAGTTTTACTAAAGATGATAACAGGTTCAGCCCAATCCATTACCTGGCACCATTGCATTAAAGGGGAGTTAGCTGGACCCAGAGCATCGCATTCTGTATAAGAGAAATTAATCCCAAGAGGTAAGATGCTGTCCCCAAATATGGAAACCCAGCCTCTGGAGGGGGGCAATTCTTTCAGAAAGAACTCTCTTTTTAAAATGTGTTATTATTACTTATTATTAATATTGATTTTGTGGTGCTGGGGATGGAACTAGTACTCATCACTGCACTATATCCCCACTGCAAATATCTTCAATTTGCGTGTGCCTGAGGAAGGATGCACATGTGTGCACATGTCTTCGAGACCAGCCTCAGGTGTCGTTCTCCAGGTACCACTGCCTTGCTTTTTAAGACCGGGTCTCTCATTGGCCTGGAGCTCATGGAGAAGGCAAAGCTTGCTGGCTGGAAAGCCCCACGGATCCTCTGGGACTACAAGAACAATCCCACTATGGCCTGCAGTTTATTACATGGGTTCTGAGGATCGAACCCGGGTCCTCACGTTGGCACTGTAAGCAGTTTACAGCTGAACTGTCTCCCCTTCTGACCTTCAGTTGTTCATGTCTGCCTCCTGTAACTTCCCTCCTGTGCTAGTTCCTGAAAGACTATGTGTGAGTGTTCATGGGCCCTAGCTTATGAAGTGCACCACATTCTAACAGGAACTGGGGTTTGGACCATTACTGTGTAGCACAGAGGTCTCAGCCACAACCCCTAGTCCACACAGAAACTTAGGGCACACACCCACCAGACACAAGCATAAGGTGAGGGCTGCAGTGGTCACCACATGGGCCATTTCTTGATGGCAGTGGTGTGAGGCTTTCCTAGAGCTCAGAGTCATTCTGAGATCAGCCCAGCTCTTAGCTCCTCCACGGGCACCTGCTGGGTGGGACAGGTTCCAGGACAGATTCCGCTAGAACATCCTTGCCTTCTGGCCCACCTTGGCTGGGCAGAAATCTCCCCAGGTGCCAGACTAAAAGGTAATCAAGGGTCCCCAGAATCCTTTCCTCTACTTCAGTCACTGTGATGACTTGGTTTTTCGAACTATTAATAATAATTATACAAGTGGGCATGCCTAAATCTCAGAATCTGAAATCTAACAAGCCCCAATCCAACACTTTGTGAACCTGATGCCACAAATGGAAAATTCCACATGGCTTAACTCTGTGGAGTGCACAGAATTATTTTTTTAAAATTCCATTAAATTATGTGCATACTATATGTATGAGTGAATGTGAAACCTAAATGAATCTAGTCTTCAAACTTGAGTCCTAGCCCAAGATTTCAAATGCAGGCATTCTAAAATCCGAATCAGTGTCTCTCTATCTCTCCCCCAATCTCTCCCTTCTCTCTTTCTTTGAGACAGGGTCTTACTATGTAACCTTGACTGGCCTGAAACTTGCCATGTAGTCCAAGTTAGCTTTCAAATAAGAGACCTGCCTGCCTCTGTCTCTCAAGAGCTGGGATTAAATTAAAGGTGTGGGCCCCCATAAGTGATTCTCAACCTGTATTAACATTAGCCAGAATATTTTTAAATATTGGGAGCCTGTGAGGAAAAAAAAAGAAAAAAATTTAAATACACAGATGGGCCAGTGAGATGGTTCAGTGGGTAAAGAAGGCATTCGCCTCCACACCTGCTGTAACCAGGACCCACAGAGTGGAAGGGCAGAAGCAGCTCCTAAGAGTAGTTCCCAACTTCACACATTCCACACACCACACACGCGCGCGCGTGCGCGCGCACACACACACACACACACACACACACACACACGGACACACACACGGACACAGTTAATAAAGTGTTATTACATGCACAGATGCACCTCCTTTGTTGGCTATACAGGAAGCTGCATGAAGATGCTACATGCAGCTAGGATTCCAGAGCCTATTAACAATGACATTGGCCAGGCAGTGGTGGCTCACGCCTTTAATCCCAGCACTTGGGAGGCAGAGCCAGGCGGATCTTTGTGAGTTCAAGGCCAGCCTGGTCTACAGAGCGAGATCCAGGAAAGGCACAAAGCTACACAGAGAAACCCTGTATCCAAAAAAAAAAAAAAAAAATGACATTGGTCATTTGAAGCCAGGGATGCTGTACAGTGACCTCCTCCCACATCCTCTGACCCACGAAATCCTGGGCTGTAAAAATCGTGACTGATTGGGTGCTAGGTGCTGGGAAAGGTCTTCATTTGGAGCATCTGCCAGGTTTAGGGTCCATTTCAAGCCACCAACTTGGTGACAATACAGGTAGGAAGAGAGGCCATAATCCCACACAGCAGGACTGCACTGGATCCCCTTTGGTGAACTTGAACAGCAGCATCAAGTGGATCTTCAGACCTGTGAGATCCTTCTCAAGTGTGATCAAGGAATGTCCAGTGGAGAGGACTGTTAGAATTACAACTTCAAGGCCTATGATGGTCGGTTTTAATTGTCAGCTTGACATAATCTACATGCTGGGAAAGGAGTTTCAGTGAGGGATTGTCTAGATTCGGGTGGACTTTGGACATCCCTTTGAGGGCAAATTGGGTTCATTAAAGTTAGAAGATGCACCCTGAATGTGAACAATGCTATTTCATGGGCTGGGCCCTGGACTGAAAAGAGCATGAGCTGGCTCATGCATGCATGCATGCATTGCTCTCTACTCTTTAAGTGTGACTGGCTCTTTCAGGCTCCTGCTGCTGTGACTTCCCTGCAACAGTGGACTGTGACCTGGAACTGTGAGCTTAAAATAAATCCTCCCGCTCTAAACTGCTGTTGTCAGGTAATTTATCATAGTAACAGGAAACTATGGTAAGGCCCCAACAGATCCATAGAGAGGAGCCCAGGGACCTGCATTTTAACAAGCCCTCCAAGTGACTGATGGATGCTAGTTACAGGTGTCAGACCCACAACCAACAGGTTCTACCCCCTGACTCCATATAAGAACCACATGGTCATTTTCCAAAGATGATTAGTGTCTGGGCCTCACCCCAGAAAATGTGCTGTCATTGGCCTGAGACCTAGGTATTAGTATTAATAGGGTTCCTGTGTGCCACTAATGTCCAATTAGAGTTGAAAACAGATTATGATTGTAATCACTTTCAAGAAACATGACTATAGCCCTTACAACTCTAGAATTCCTCTCAGCTTGATGCATCATTGCGGTTCCTGTAAGTCTCCAAACTAAACTGATCTACAACTGTCAGGTAAGTGTACAGGAGGCTCTTAGTAGGTGAAGTGAAGACTTGGCTTCTGGGAAGGATTCCCAGCCCCTGAGTTTCCTTAAATTTCCCTCTGCTGAACCTGAAGAGTTCACCTGTGTACCTCTGTCCCTGTGTACCTCTGTCCCTGGTTCTAACTAGCCCCACCCATCCCGCTCTTCCTCTTTACCGCTATGCTTTGGCCTTGCTCTGGAAAAGGCCCTCACGTTTTTCAATGCATCACACAGACACCTTGAGGCCTGAGGGGACAGGACTGAGCTAAGGATGTTTCTTCAAAACAGACAGCTGAGTGACAGTGTCTAGAGTTGAGGGGCTGAAAGTACAGATAGATTGTGGCCTCACAGTGGAATCATCTGGTGAGCTTGGACCATCCGCATTCCTGGCCCTGCCTACAGAGATATCAATTTCTTCTAGATGGGGAAGCATACTAGGAAAATGTGTTAGCAAAGGAAATTGAAGGTCATGATAAATACAGGTGACATCATATCTGTGTTCTGTGCTGAAGGCCCTGAATGCATGAAGCAACTAAATTGCTCATGACATGGGGGGTGGGGAATGGCTCAGTGGTTAGAGTGCTTGTTGAACAAGTGTGGTGACCAGAATTTGGATCTCTGCATGCACATGAGAGCCAGGTGGGCTTGGTAGCAGACATCAGCAGTGCAGGTTGACTAGGCTGGACCTCCAGGTTCAGTGAAAGACCCTGCCTCAATAAAAGTAGAGTGCTCAGGCCCCCACATGTGCACACACACACCACACACACACTACACACAGTCATGCATACACACACACATACAAAAGCCAAAATAACTAAGTAAGTGCCCTCTTACAGCACAGAAGACAGGAAATGGCTGCCAGCACACAGGAAAGCATTACTCTCTCTGAGCAGTGAGTGATTCTACAGCAATGAGCATGCCTGAACCATGGCTCCGTGCTCCAGCTCACACTATTAGTCTATTGATACTGCAGGCTAGTTGCATGGTAGGCTCAGAACAATCCGGAGTGGAGCTCTAGTTTTACAGCAAACCTTGGTGTTGAGGGAAGCACACTCAAGTGCGGAACTCGGAGGAAACACAGCAAGAGTACCACAAGAGTCAGGCCTGTGGCTTCACTGTCCAAGGAAGAAACTCAAAGGTGTTGACTTTGAGCCAGACATGGTGATGCACACCTATAATCCCATCACTCAGGAGGTGGAAGCAGAAATATCACAAGTTCAAGGCTAGCTTGGGCTACATAGCAAAACCTTGCCTAAAAAAAAAAAAAGGGGGGAAGAGAGTCGACACCAACTCTGAGTGGTGGCTACAGGATGTTCACTCTATAGTTCATGTGTTATATCACTACCCATCTCTAGAAGTAAATAAAAACAACGGCAGTACATATTCTACTTGAAATCACAAAGCCACAATAAAGGACTGGGAAAGTACATTATTGGTTGCTTGAGCTCATTCTCACCTGTCATACATCAATAAGGAGATAATACATAA